AGTTGTCCATAATAGCCATATCATCAGCATAATCGGTGTCCAGAATGACCTTTTCCTCGACCGTCTTCATCTCTTTTTGCAGCACTGCGCCTTGACTGATGATCTTGTTGGTCACAGCCAGAAATGCAGAAAAATTTAGGCAGAAATTAAAAGCAGGAGGTGCTTGAATGTCACCCTGACCTGTGCCTGAGTTAACATCAAACCATTCTGTCAGCTCCCCATTAACCCTCACGGCACTCATGGTACCCCCAAAAAATGACTGAAATATTCTGGTCACATATTTTTCAGGCAGCCCATAGTGTCTCATACTGCACCAAATAAAGTCCCTTCTGATAGAATCGAACGCTGCCTTGAAATCCACAAAATTAATGTAAAGAGGAATGTTAAACTCAAGACAGTTATGAATAATAGTTCGGAGAGAATAAATCTGATCAATACATGAGCGGTTCTGTCTAAATCCGCACTGATTCTCCCTGAGGAGACACTCCATACCAGCATGTAACCGCTTAAGAAGAATCATCTGAAAAAGCTTGGATGCTGTAGACCTTAAGGTGATCCCTCTGTTGTTCCCGCAGACTGAAGTGTCTCCTTTCTTCCCAATGACAATGATCACACCCTTTAACCAATCTTCAGGAACAGTCTCTTCTTCCCACACTTTCTTGAATAGACACTCTAGTTGATCAACTAGAGCACTCGCACCATACTTCAGTTACTCGTTAGTTATCCCGTCCACTCCTGGGCTTTTGTTATTCTTAAGCTTTGTCAGGGAATAACTAATCTCGTCTCTGGTGGGTGGTCCATCCGAACAAGAGAGAGAGAGTTAAAGTGGGGTTGGGGTGGTACTGTATCAAGGTCGGCAAGGTCAACACTTGATAATGGAGGGTTCAGAAGTTCAGTAAAGTGCTCCTTCCACCTATCCCTCTGCTGTTGGGGATCCGTGATCTTCCTACCGTCCTTGTCCCGGACACAAGATGCTTGAGGCTTCTTGTTCTTACCAGAGATCTTCTTGATCTTTGCCCATACCTCACGCTGCTGACCTTTGCTCGCTGCTTCCTCAAGATCAGTAGCTACTCTAACTGCCCAGTTATTGTCGTCTAGCTTGCTGCTTTTCTTGACTAACTTATTAAGTTTAGAATACTCTGACCTGTTAGCGTCTGATTTTGGGTCTTTGCGCTTAAACTGTGCCCGCTGAATCAATAAATCCTTGGTCTTCCGTGACAGGTGTTGCTCCTTTGCCTTCCGGGGTCTTTTGCCTAGTACCTCCAGTGAGACATCAGTGACGGTCTGACTGAGATTACGCCACATATCCTCGAGGTCGACCTCACTATCCAGACTTGCAAATCGGTTTTGAAGAGCCACATTGTACTCTGTAACCGTAGTACTACTGCAGTACTACTGCTGCAAAACCAGCTTCAGGCAACTGTTACAGGTAACTAAATAATTGCAAGATGTAAATCTAGGAGCAGTAATAAATCTATTCCCAAGAGAGCAAGAGTTTGAGATACGGTCTAGTTAAAAAACAAGTCTATAATCGTTAGAGTCAGTGCAATAAGTTGTAACCCAATTCTTTTTCTCCAGGTGCACTCTGGGAGAGTACTGGGAGAATCACACATGTTACAAGTGTCCAGAAGATCTATACGGGGATGGGGTCCAATGTCACAAGTGTCCACCAGGGTTTAAAGTTGACAAAGGATTCTGTCACAAAGATCTAACACAGAAAATAGTGGTTGCTGCGTTCATAGCATTGCTGACACTTGGTTGTATTTTAATCGCAGCGGCTATTTTCTACAGATTCAGACGATGTATGAAGAAGAAGGAACCTGGACCCTCATCTCATCCCATCAGAATGAGTGAACAAGCAGAGCACTTAAACAGGGAAACAGAAGAAGTGGGGGTTGAGGCGAATCCGAGTGATACAAAGTGTGGAGAAGCAGAGTTAGAGGAGGAGAATGAGGAAGAGAATAATGTGTACGAGAGTTTAGGCGAGCTAAAGGAGTAATGGACGCTTGGTAATATTTTGGAAACAGCACACAACCTACTTTATAATTATTATAGCTATGGATCGAGACTGTTTTTGTGATTTTTAGCACAACATTTATGTCATACTGCATACATATTTAAAGATATTTTATTTTACTTTTAAGAAAAATATTTAACTGCCTATGATAATGATTGTGAATGGTGATATCTTTTTGCCAGTCATTGAATTATTTGCTTAAAGTAAATAAAACTAAATAGTTTTAAACAAGAAACAAGACTAACTACCAAGTAATGCCAGTGTAATTATAGAACTAGGGAGTACTAGGACTAAACTATTCAGAATACGTGCCATTAAGTTGACAGTTGAGTTCAATCACGCGAATATGATGTGATCAATTTCTCTTTTCAATCAGCTATATCCACTTTCCATAACTCTGGTTTCAGTGGTGAAAGTCTGATTTGGATTTCAACATGATTTTGTCTACCAACCGCATTTTTCTGTTCATAAGTCTGTTCATCATCGGACAAGGTAACTATAACACAGTAAAATAATTCCAAGTTTTGGTTTCGCACTAATTTTTTAAAACATTGACGCGGAATAAATTAATTATTTGTTATAAACACGTGTTATAGAGTCATTATATTTCAGTAGTTGGCAGCAGCAGTAAAACTAGACAATACAAGAATTTCACTGAAATCGACCGTGAGAATGATCCAATGAACTTGAATAGGGAGAAAAGATCCGCTCAAGACATTCTGGAATTCCAAATATGGAGCGAAAGGAATGTTCAGTCAGATGAGGGAGTACTCATGGCAAAAGAAGAGGGTGGATATTGGGCTCCAGTTTGCAGACAAAAGTCCAGTGGTTCAAGTCTATATCCCACAACAGACTCGGGAAACTACATTTGTCAGAGAATGAACTACACGAAAGTGGTTCAAGTTTCTAACTTAGATGTAGGTTACAGTTTTGCTGAGGATTACAGCTGGTCCAACAGTAAAGTTTATAACCTGAAATGTAGCAGTCCTACCGAGTGTACTTATGATACTTCTCCTAACTGTCGTATTTACAGCTCAAAAGATTACGATTACGATAACTATTACCGATACTACTACACAAAGATTTCCTGTACTGGCTGTAAAGCTAACAACTACATCTCTGATAAGAAGTGTCTCCCCTGTCCAGCAGGCGGCACCTCCCCTCCAGACTCAACACAATGCTGTAAAGCAGGCTACATACTGGTTAACAATACCTGCCACAAAGATCTAACACAGAAAATAGTGGTCGCTGCGTTCATAGCATTTCAGACATTTGGTTGTATTTTAATAGCAGTGGCTCTTTTCTACAAAATCAGACAGAAGAAGGAACCTGGACCCTCATCTCATCTCATCAGAATGAGTGAACAAGCAGAGCACTTAAACAGGGAAACAGAAGAAGTGGGGGATTAAGCGAATCCGAGTGATACAAAGTGCGGAGAAGCAGAGTTAGAGGAGAAGAATGAGGAAGAGAATAATGTGTATGAGATTTTTTAAGCGAGCTGAAGGAGTAATGGACGCTTGGTAATACTTTGGAGACTGCACACAGCCTACTCTATGATTATTATGGCTATGGACTGTTTTGTGATTTTTAGCGCAACATTTATGTCATACCATACTTATTTTATTCATGGATATTTTATTTTGTTTAATACAAGAACAATATTTGACTGCCTATGATGATGATTGTGAATGGTGATATCTTTTTGCCAGTCATTGAGACATATAAACTAGCAGTACAGTACTTAACTTAACTCGGATTTTATGTAAATAAAAAATATTCTTCATTAACGAAATTTTATTCTTCTGCACAGAAGAATCTCAAAATAACCGTACAAAAATTTGTTCCTACAACTTGCTAAGTTAGTCAACCAAACCATTTCCAATTTCATTTCCAACTTCTCACAGAACACATCTCAGACTGTATACAGCACCAGGGCAGCACTGTATAATAAAATATACACTGTATTTACTACATTAGGAGGAGCAATTAGGAGGAAGCTACATTTATTATTATCCCCAGTGCAGGTATTACCGAGCTCCACTGCGTGCATACCTGCACTAATTAACTAATTTACTGCCTGCATACCTTCACTAATTAACTAATTAAACTACAGAACTAATGCTCTGATCCAGGTAGTACAGTGCTGGATGATATTAATTCTGGTATAATCATTACAGTTTATTATTATTACGTGTTCCTGGGTTTAATAAGATTTATTACATCCCCTATTTTGATGAAATGAGTGCGTAGTATTCTTTTGACGAGCCTAAAAACCTGTATTAGACCAAATAAGGACCGATAAGGTTGCCTGTCTGAGGGGGAATGTGGCCGTCCACAATCAATCAAGGCCTAGTCCTCTGGTAGATTATATATAAACTTAGCCCAGAACATAGTTCAGTTATAAGCTCAATCCCTGCTCTAGAGCTGGGAATCCCATTAGACGTTAGCCCTGAAGGTGGAGTTAGCCTCCTTACTTACTACTTAGGTATCGAGGTCCGAGGATTTATAGGTTATTGATGTAGAGTGGGTGCCCCACAAACAAAACAAGGTTGCCTGTAGTTTTAGAATATTTCCGAGCGCGTGAAAACTGACAGCAGGGTTGCACATTGCATATCTAGACTTTAGAGTTCATTTTTAAAGTTAAAAGTTTGTGTGTGATATGATATCTATGGTATAATTTAATCGCATTGTGGACTACATCTTTAAATTTAAAACGATGTGAAGAAGTGCTGACTTGCACGAAACTTCATGTATCGCAACGCTTCTGATATGACGTGAATCATGGTATAATATTATATACCACCACCATAAATGGAATACTAAAGCCGATGTGGGGCAGTTACGGCCTGATCATAATTCCAGATTGGATATTGTGGCACTATTTGAAGGACAGCCCCTTCAGTTAACTTGAATAAACCACGTGACACGTCGTGGTATCACGTGACACGTCATGGTATCACGTGACACACAACACGGTACTGACCTTGTGACTGTGGAGTCCAGTTGTTGAAGGTGGTCTGGTTATGAACACTGGGTGACGTGTGGTCAGAACTCCGGTCAGAGCTCCGGTCTGATATCCTCTCTATTCCCGGACCTGGGTGTGTGAAATGTCAAACACAAGGAAATGTTTTAAACGACGGTAACGAATATACAGAATATTATGTTGATCGGATCTGGAAGGATGTGGTTTGTAGCCCCATAAATAAACTGCTTTTCATTTGTACATTATTTTAATGAGACCCGAAGGCAAATTCCTCCATATATTAATAATAATAAGAATAAATTGAAATTTAATAACACCGCTTTTGAGATAAAACTTATACTCAGCAGTGTTTGAACTAGTCATCTCAAAAAATATCATGAATACTGAGCTAAAAAGATAAATTATGCTTGAAAATATATCGTCAATACTAAAGCCAGAAAATGGTACTTAAATATATTATGCAAAGATCGAATACCAACCAAATATGACCAAAATAGTTATCGATAAAGTTTTCCAAGTTCATCTGGGGACAGTTTGAAAAGGTACGTTTTTAGAAGAGCTTTAAAAGATTCCAGGGATTGAGCTGAGGTGATGGTAACAGGCATTCGATTGTAGATTGAAATCCTTACAACTGTTACAAAGCATAAGTTATGCTGTCAATCTTTGATATTAATTTACTGTACAATGCAATGTAACGAAACATTCTGACACATTACTCAGGTTCAGATCACGCACACTAATTAATTATATTCAACTAATTAACTCACTAAAAGTAACCTCATTAAAGGTGATTGTGTCCACACGTACATCTCTTGCTAAAAGGTTAATTTAATATACGTTTATTGAGTATAACATAAAAGGTGGTGGCATACAATTCTCGCTTGTACTGTTCTGCCCGAGAAGAATGCTTTAGTACACTTTTGAAGTGTTGACTCTACACTCAGTGAATTTGTCACATATAAACGACTTTCTAATAGTGCTGTGTGTGTGACACGTGTGTGCGCGTGTCTGATTCTACTATAATCACAAACTGTACATACTGGTACCATGAATCTCTCCATTTGTTTATCCAATAAACTTCATGATCTACTGAACAGTACTGTGAACAATCTCCGGATTCCTTACCGGGTAGCATATTTTAGTATAATAAGAAAATGACCAGTTATTGACTCTACTACTAGCATTACGTCGCTACTCTAACAGTCCTGGCTTCCTGTTCTGAAATGTCGACATTGCATCTGTTCATTATTCCTTACGTAATGTGCCAGAGTGCTAAGTGTTGTGCACCAAACACCGCGCAGAATGATTATCCTAACCAACATAACTCATAACCAACATAACTCCGCTCCATAATACGCATATTATGCTAATTATGTTATGCTAATGAATATTTTACCACATTTTAAAGAGAGTCGTGTAAAAACTCAGTTTCCTGGAGTCAATTAGAGAAGGTAAGTGTAACGAGAGGTCAGAGGTGTTATAAAGGTGTTATAGAAGTGTTAGAGAAGTGTTAGAGAGGAGACGCTTGGTTGCACTATTATTCTATTATACTCTTCAGTCTGCCTGGTAGATTAGTGCAAGGTGTGATGTATAGTGTGCTAATTGGGTACACACAGGTCGCACAGGCCCTGTACTTTCATCACACTGCACATACTGCAAATACTGCACATATTGCACATACTGCACATACAAACTAGACGGGAATATTAGACTATGACGTTCTTTTAAGAGTGAATATAACATTTTTTGACCTCTGATCATGTTAATTTTCGCCTCTTGGGAATTGAATTGTCTTAACAGATGTTGAAAATCTAAAAATATTTGGTACTCAGGAAACAACGAGACGGACACTTCTTCACATGATTATGGGACCCGTGTTAGACAAAAGAAGTTGCTAGACAAAGTCTGATTCTAGGCTAGAAAGTGATCAGGTGACCTGAACCTGAATTGGAGGTTCCAATATAAAGGAAGTTCCCCTCAGGGCTAGGTCAGCTTGTATAATGTATAGTTAAGTGCTTTGAAAGAGAATTAATTCATAATTAAGGCTGTCTTTAGGTTAAGTACAGTTACAATTTTGAGCAGTCTTATTTCTAAGACCTTATTCTTAACTAGATAATACAATTTATTCATACCTCCAATAATGGGATGTCTATCTGTAACCATATTCTGCGTCCTTGGATCGAACATGATGGAGCGGTCGATAGTAAGGGCTCTGTCAAAGTTACGTTCCAGTGACGCCACGTTCCTGTCCAGAGTTCTTGTTTCCATGGCAGGGTTATACGGTGGCATCATGTTGGGCATACTGTGTTGTTGCATCTGCTGGAGTTGTGGGTGTTGAATTGGATTTTGCATCTGCCCAGGCTGTAATTGTCCAGGCTGTAATTGTCCAGGCTGCATTTGACCAGGCTGCATTTGACCAGGCTGCAACTGTCCAGAATGCAACTGACCAGGCTGCATTTGACCAGGTTGCATCTGTCCAGGCTGCATTTGCCCTGGCTGCATCTGTCCAGGCTGTAATTGTCCAGGCTGCATCTGTCCAGGCTGCATCTGTCCAGGCTGCATTTGACCAGACTGCATTTGCCCTGGCTGCATCTGTCCAGGCTGCATCTGTCCAGGCTGCATTTGCCCTGGCTGCATATGTCCAGGCTGCATCTGTCCAGGCTGCATGTGATGCGGCTGGAGTGGATGTTCCCGGTGTGAAGGTGCTATAGGTTGAGGCTGTATCTGGTTAGGATGCTGCTGGGGTAGGTAACCATTGGTACCGTATCCGCCCATAGTCCCGTAATCTGAAATAAATACACTGTTAATCTCTGGAATACAAACACAGGGTTAATTTGAGTTCTTTATGAAAAATGAGTCAAAGTCTAGTCAGTTGCAGTGCCTCAGACGCATCATTTAGATGTGGTGGAGCCGCATAATGTGCGATATCTTACCACACCTAAAAGCGTCTCTGAGCTGCAAAGTGACTGGTCTCACCAACACACCCTCAACCTGGCAGGGTCGTACGTGTAAATATCAGTGTTCTGCTTTAGACAGCTATGAAGCGGTACAAGAATCTGTTACTGGTATATATTGGCAAGGTATCAGAGAGCTCTCTCTCTCTCTCTCTCTCTCTCTCTCTCTCTCTCTCTCTCTCTCTCTCTCCCTCTCCCTTTCTCTCTCTCGATCTCTCTCTCTCTCTCGCTCTCTCTCTAGTTCTCTGAGCTAATTCCAGTAACGAGTATAATAATAACTCAGCATACACTTCAAATCATGACAGGTTTTAGAATTTAGAAGTCTCGTGACGTAGAACTAGCTTTACAGTTAGGTGCTGATCCAGTTGAGGTAGCGTTTAGTTGGGTTCTATAAAAATGGGTAGCACTCTCTGATAGATACGGTTTTAGCTTTGATTATAAGCGCAGTAGGTGATTATTAAATTTCTGGATATTTGTTACATATCTGGAGATTGATTTTAAACATGTTTATTAAGCGAACACGCCAGAAAGGGGTTCACTTAATCGGTTTTGTAAATATAAAAGTGCTGATTTTAACTTTACACAGGGGTTTAGCTACCCACTCTCACAACCTTGACAAATTGCAAGTTGGCTGCATTCTCTGAATTACATAATCTAAATTACACGATGAAATAGATAGCGCTAAAATACCTAGTGTACTTTATAGCATATAGTTTATATGACATTATAGTGTGCAGACGGAGCAAGGTCTGTCAGATCAGAGCCGCATCATTTGTCATTAATCCTTTTTAGGTTACCCAACTTGTAAAACTCTTTATGACCTCCGATATAACGTCAATATGAAAATACTTTGCCTCCTATGCTAAATCAACTGTTTCTCCAAGACCTAATTTAGGCGTAAACAAAAACATCAAAAATGTCATATTTTCTCCACATAGGCAAAAATCTAAAATTTCTCAGATACAGTTATTACAGTTATTAATATTACAGTGGTCCAATAATTTAACCCTGACACTTGACAGGGAAAGTTGGGTATTTAATTTTAACCAAGAAATTTAAATCGTGCTGGAGATGAGATCTGCTAACCATTGGTCTGATTGTTTTAGTAAAGGAATGTACTATCTTGTTAGAGTGAGAGAGAGGTGGACAGTAAACAATGACAGTACACAGGATGCTTTATTTTTATTGCAACTTTCATATCCGTCATGTACTAATGTATCGTACACCCGCAGCGATATTACAATTTACATATTATGTACAGTTGTAGCTAGTACTGTCCTTAAATACTATTATATGAGTTAAATACTATTATAATTTATATGTGTACTAACGCCTTGAATAGTGTTCACGATATGTCAATATGCAAACTCAAAGTGAATATCACACAAACTCGGTGATCCAAATAATTCCATACGAATAAAATTGAAGCTATTTCGAAGAAAAATGATAATCACGTCTGTACTTTATCATTTTTGCCGGTCTCTGGTTGAAAGAATGTGTAATGTGATGAGTGCGCTTCATACAATATAGTGTGTAATATATAGTGCACAACTGATATTTTTATGATTAACTTCCCACACTGCCCATAAAGGCGACTGGCAGTTTGTGTTGATAATACTTTCGCAACCTCGAGGAAACTTATGATCTGTGTTCACGACTTTTTGGGGATATAATTCCCGGAAATGATTATAAAGTCGAAATAAAACAATCTAGTGATTTGGGTTTGTGATAAAGCATATACATTGTTAACTTATTACTCTCCACAATTTGCATCTTCAATAAATGAGCGGGTCTTATTTCTCGACTTATATACAAGTCAAGAGGTATTCAAAAATAAGTGCAACACACATCTTGGCATGTGTGCTGTGCATAGCCTATCATGATATGTTATATACGGCCTGTTTCTCGTGAGTTCTTTGCAAATTCCATGAAATACCCAAGCCAGTGTCAGTACCGCTAAATACTTGAAGCGCTGACTCCTTCATAATACAAAATAGCCCCAATTGTATTGGTAACAGCTGCACACAAATGCTTGTATTGGTCACTACTAATGCTTGTACTGGTCACTACTAATGCTTGAAGCAGCAGGTACTAAGCAACTGATAGCTCCCCAACACGCTGTTTACTATGTGTAACTTTTCAGGTGTAATGATAACCATCCCCACCTGTCAGCGACACAAAGCTTCTACAACTGCACGTGGGCAATGTGTGATGTGAGGTGTGTTGTACAATAATACATGTGTTTGTTACATGTGTAATGTAATAGTAGTGTGTGCTGTGTGATATCATCATATTGTGTACTATTATTTAACCTTGTAATTGGTATAATAATACCATGAGTAGCTATTAGAAATATCAAATATGTAAAATATGTATGATAATACAGGATTGTGTGTCCGTGGAATGTGTACTCTACTAATGACTCCGGGACTATTAGCACCACCTAAAACACTTCTTACTCGTTATTACCAGTTCAGGTATAATGACGTGTCCCGCTAACGATACACAGGCAGCACCAATACTCTCCAACATTTACCTTTATAATTACCCTACCGTAGAACATACCTTCGTTATCAGCTCTACCTTCACAATAATATAACAGTTATCGTAAAACCGGGCCTTCAGGTTAATCTCCAATGGCGCAGATAATAAAAGTGTGATCATCCCAGCACTACGAAGTAAAGATGAACACATCTAACCAACATCTTTTTAGCGAGCTTGAACAACGCTGTCCTGTTCCACATTTGAAAGACCTCAAAAGTCAGGATCCTGAAAACATCTTCTGCAGTAAATGTTCCTTTTTTCCGCAGATTTCCTTTAAAATTGTAAGATTCTGATGACGACCACTGTTAGACTCTTCAGAACTTACATTCTGAACTCACGAATAAAACCCCTATATCTAGAGCCTTTGATACTTGGTAACGGCCCTGTATGCACCGCTACAAGATACAAATACCAGGACTAAACTTTGAAATGAGCAGACTTAAAACACTGAATAGCCACACAGTTCTGCTGTCCGCAGACCCACATACTCCAAAGTCCATTATTTAATTAATCACTCAACTATCTAGCTCTCAACCCTCATACCCACATTAACTGCAGCTAGTTCACATAGTGACCCCCTTCTCCACCACTACCTGGCAAGTTACACTTAACCACCTGACAACTACCCATCCTGTAACTGTATAATGACACCATGTTTGGGAGGTGGGGGTAATAAAGTAGCTGCAGGGGGGGGGGTAATAAAGTAGCTGCAGGGGGGGGGGGGGGGTAATAAAGTAGCTGCAGGGGGTGGGGGTAATAAAGTAGCTGCAGGGGGGGGGGGGGGGGTAATAAAGTAGCTGCAGGAGTAAAGCCATTCTGCGAGTGTGTCTCACTTGGGGGTGTCTGAGCTTGAAAGTGGGAACATTGACACTGTGAATGGTTACACTGTGTGTGTACACTGTGTCACACTTAGGTGTTACGACCATTACACAGAATGTTACACTGGTTGTACACTATGTCACACTAACGTTTATTCACATGCTAGCGTGTCATACACTACCAGCTCTCCTACACACTCAATATCTCCTGATACGCAGCCAAGTAGCTTTAAATACTGCTAAATATTTTGCAGCTACACAATTACACGCAGGATTATTCTTCCTCAACAGAAACAAACACTTTCTCTAAGCAACCAAGTGTAAAAAAGCTCAAGTCTCTGGAAAACAAGAGTATTATATTCAATACATTTCTCAGATAACCGAAGTTCAAGAATTCCATCCATAATTAAGATACGCAGCCAAGCAGTGCAGTTATTTACACACAGGATTATTCGTCCACATACCGTACACTCGCTCTGTAATGTCAGATAATTTGATGTGTGATTTACTTATTTAAGACGTAGGTAAAGTGAATATTTAAGCAGAGATCTCCCTTACTGAGGTAGAGAGAGCCTTGTTGCATGATGTTGTTGGCAGGGTGCCAGATTTTAAGGGGAATGTTCAAAATATGATACTTTATTGCTGGGTTATTGTGAAAAGTTCTTCAGCCTAAATTCTGATGAGATATTTTGAATTTGCATTTTCAGTATTCACAAAATGACATCAGTACTTGAAATATAAATCCATTTATGTCCATCAAGTCCGCTGTTCAGTTGTGTAGTTATTGTGTTCAAAATATTGAACAGTTTGCAACTTTTATACAGATCATTATATTTGGAACACTCGATTTGAGTCAATGTTCTATAAATAGTTAGGAAAACTTTCATGTGCTCATGTTAGACAAATCACGTACTATGTATAATGTGAGTACATAATATTATGTAACACTCAAAAAACCACGTGAGCAGATCTGATGCTTAGTTTTACTTCCAATCATAAATTATAAAACAATTTTCGAAGCACAAAGTTAGGCGAACCAGTTAGCAGTTATATTATAGTGCTTGAGACTTCTTTTGCAATAAGTAGTACGTCAAATATTATCACGTCAAAATTACAAAAAATAATACACACCTCCCCTGGGCGGCCCAGCTCCGTTCTGTTTGAGCGAGTTGTGATGAGACCTGCTATTACTGAAGTTATCACGTGACTTGTCCCGCTGCATGGTCGGCTTGTCACGTGACCCCACAATGTTGTTTATGTTCTGACCCTGGTGTAGGGGGACTGGGCGCGGCTCATCTGGCACTATCACTCCGTGACCTATGTTATCTAGCACTGAGAGATCTATGGGTTTCCGTACATGCTTCATTCCATCTTTGTTTATTGACTGTGTGGGTAGGTTATGTGTGAGATTAGAGCTTCATTTTAGATAAAATAAACTGTGCTTAAATATCAAATGGCGTGTCGCTAAGAATCGTTACTTTGTGGCAATTTATTGAACTGTAAATTTTAGGCTTTAAAGCGGCAGAAATTTCTACACCAATACGGTTAAGGTGGTTTGTTACGGCAAATGTAAATTAAAATCAACACAATTAAGAGGATACAATTTCAGTTCCCTTTCGATACCTTATTTTGTACAACTTTATGTTGTCGTTGTATTGCAATAGTAACCCCCAGAGATTTGACCTTTTCTTTGGAATGATAACTTTCAATGTTTTCAAAATCCTGAGAGAATAGTTATTGCCTCAAGTGTTGATACGCAATCTATCACGGAATGCTACAAAACTAAAATTAGACCACAAAACCTTACAGTTTATATTACAACAAATACCGTCATCAGTAATTACAACCCAACTTGAACGATAGTTTATAAAAGGAAATAAGACCGTTAATAATAACCAAATTTCCGGTTGCTATAATTATTCCTACCTGTTGAATACAGTGTAGCTGGTGATTTATATTCTCCAATCTGCCATTGTGAGTGTTAAGCAGCTGCGATAAGCTGGTCGAAAGCTTGGTGAGTCGGTGAGATACGTTGACAAGGGAGTGTACCACGTACCCCTTACTTTGATCAAACACAGTCTGATAAACATGGGCAATATTAGTATGATGAGGGGGAGGAGTTATAGAACAGACTGAAAAGTTAAACCTCATCAGCATGATGAAAAGGGGTGTGGTTGAAATGTTTTAGCAACGAGTTCCACCCTACAAGGTGAACTCACACAGACAAGTAGAAATATTTACTGATTTTACCACGCATGAAACTGAATTGAAAGTGAATGACATGAGTTATAAGCATGAAGTTTGTTGCAACCAGGTTTACAAGTCTATTAAGAGACTTGAATTTAAACTTATAAGATAGTACTGTTTCTGAGGAAATGAAACACAGTTACAACCTGCTATCAGGTCAGACACAGAACATTTGTTACTGTTCTATGTTATATTATGTGATGTGTCATCAGGATGTGGTGCAAATTTGTTACACGTTGCCACGACAATACTGTCACAGGTAAACGCCGTTAAATCATCCGTCAGAAAACAGTTGCACTAATTTACAACGTCGTTTGTACAGACTAAAGAATACTGAATATGCATGTGGTGTGAGAAAGTTGATGGAAAATGTTGAAAGTTTTCGATTTGGATTTTGAAACGTCACGTTGTACAGTCCAAAATAAATGAAAATAATTGTAGCTGAGGTTTTGATCTCTATCACCAAATCTCAACCTAAACTACGAAACTAAATTCAATGTATTACTATACCTGTTGATCCTGACATGTCAGGAAGCTTTGTTCACAATACTGTGCGAGTTGCTCGAGATTTGCTGAGCTTTCCTGGAGTTCTCTGCGGGTGTTCAAAACTTCGTCGTTGTACAGCTGTTCCACCTCATCATACATCAAGGAGGCCGGCACTTCCATACAACCATCTCACACCATTTCTATCATGGTAGTTATACAAATTAATTATCAATAGATAAAGATAATCATGTTTTATACAGGGTAATTATATTAAATTGATATTCGTTTTTATATAATATTGAATAAAAACTCGTAAAGTAACATTAGTTCAGTAAAAGTTACAGATGATCAGTACTTTACTTTTAGTGCCAAAGTAATATAAATACAAAAAAAGGTTTGGAAAAAAACAAGTACACAAGTACACTACCCATTTATTCCTAAAACTCTTTGATTACTAACATTAACCAGCAAGTTTGTATGACACTACTTGGCTGCATTCTGAATTTAATATTTTGGGTTCCCTCTCAGCTGACATGAAAATTGTGGAATAATTAATACATTGAATGTCACCATCTAATCCTGAACATTAAAACTACCTGCTACTGTCATGTCAATGATTGTAATTAATGGGGGTTGTGACAGATTAATTGTTGTTTCAGATGCTGACAAATAACATGACGTACTAATGGGTCTTTAGCTGCAGTGAGCTGTGTTGTGTCAAACGTACACAGTGTGGCTAAGTCACATTATATCTTTCTTCGATGGTCTGAATATTTATAAACTTTCCCATTGTGTACAGTTATAATTTCGGTTATGCTGTCATAACGATTAGGAAGACGCATCACAGATCTCTAAAAGGCATTGTTGCAAAACATAAAAATAGCCCACTAAGCAAGTCATAACGTTTTTTATCTTTATTCCTTAAAAACTACAGATTCTAGGCTGTAGGTCTATTCATGGCATATCTGTAAATGATATTGATAAATGTATTGATTCTACATTGTTCAGCCTATTAGCTAGTATCTACGATATTAGAAATCAGTGCAGTATAAACTAATGACAATCACAGCCATTAAATCCGTTTTAGGAAGTAATAAACTAAATTTGATTGAAAACTCAGGAGACTTCTCCAGCAAGAAAGGATTTGCATTTACAAATAATAAATTTTATTGAATCATGCACAAAATTAGGAGTTTCTGGTATATTAATCTCCCTGGCAAGTTGCAAATTAATATAGCAAAAATGGTGAAAACACTATGCTGCACTGGTCCAACAATGTTCGACATGACCCTCCAAAACATGGTGTAACATTCGCAGCGGACTACAATTAACCTTTCCTGACATTAGTTCTGTGATTCCTTGACAAACAATTTCCATCGCAGCATATTCAGTAGACAGTGAAAGGCCAGTATAATGGTTATTGGAGGAATCTACCTAAACTGAAAGTGATAGTCCGTGTACACAAGATTAGTGCTGGTTAGATCCAAAAATCTTGGTTCATATATTTAGTATTATATAGGGGATTCAATCAAAGAAACTCCACTGAAGAACGCAGGCTCAAAGCAAAGAAGCACTAAGCATTACCCTGCTACTTAACCTGAACGTTTCAGTGACTGAAACTTTGAGGGGCCGAGCCACGAGGCCTGCCGAAGCAGCATTATTTATAAAACCGCATATTTGAAATGATATGATGATGATGAAAATCTTAAAATAACTGGCTACAATGAGCATTTTAATAACAATTTATTGTTATTAAAATTTATAAATAGTAAAGATCAAGAACTTTAATTTCCAAAAGACTAATAATTTTTAATACCTACCTAACAAAATTACACCCCGCTAACAAAATTAAAGATCTTAACAATTAATACACTTCAAAATACTAGAATAAATGTTCATAGTACAAAATATTTGACTTTACCAGTCACTTGACGTTTCGAAATGAAACTGAGGTTGAAGATGCAGTTACAAAAGGCCACTGGTTCTCAATGGTTACTGAAACAAACTTTTTCCAAAATATAAGTTTTAAAGCAGTCCATATCTGCTTGAAATGATAATCATGTATATATTTGAACTTACAATGATGTACTAAGGATACAAGGATACAAAAAAGCAAAATTCAATTTTAGTATAACAAAAATCTTTCTATGGAATACGTTTCTTGAACAGTCAAATGCACGTGGTAAAATAGGTTCACTAGGCTCAATTAAATCCCAATTGAAGCATTCTATCATGAAGGCTCAACACCAACCTGACAATATTAACTGGCAGGACTTAAACTTGAACACTTTCCTATGAAAAGACCCCCATTTATATTTATATCTTTTACATTTTACACCTGTCACTCACATCATATATACACCACAAAAAAAAGATTCATTCAATCATTACATTATATAGACAGTTTTGGGTTTTTCCAAATAGTTTCTGATTATTCTGATTTGCGACAAATGATATTGCACTGTTAGGATAAACGACGTTTCAAAGTAACAACTTCTTATTCATGCTGACAAAATTGGTAAATATGTGAGAAAACTGTCTCATAAAATTTATTAATCAAAAATGGCTAAACGACAACAAATTGTTCAAATACTCGACTAAAATTAGAATCAAAATCTATATATATACAACACTACTCGATCTGCTATTCAATAAACTTAAAACATCCACTAAACAGCAAGTACGTGATTGTGATCGTGTGATGGAATGACATGTACAGTGATAACAGATGATTTAAGATGTAAGTGATAACAGATGATAAGGTAAAAGATACAATACATGTGAGATGGTGTATACATTACATTATACACTCACTCCACCACACACGCTCACAAACCATTGAAGAAGCTAAGGTTACACGCGGGTGTACCGTTCTCTTTAAATCCAAAGGGAAAAATAATACTTTACGTAACGCGCGATTTACGTCTTGGTAGCTAAATTATTCAAGCGCTATTTGTCAGAGCGACACAAATGCGCGAGCGCTTGCGCAGCTCACTTATCCACCACTCATGTTTACATCGGATCAGGCAATGGTTCAGTCTAATTATGGTAAGGGCACAGCCTGTCAAAAACCCTTTTCGCATGATCCGTCGACACCGCCTGAAGGTGACTGCATAATAACGGATCAACATGGAATCAAACGTTAATAAGCTTGCAGCTTCCGATGACAATGTATTCAACCTGGTGTCATGCTTGAATTGGTTTCGGACCTCTTCATGCTTTTAATTTATTTATTATTGTTATTTGGTATTATGAGCTGATATGTACATATACATGATACGGTATCTAAAAATTAAGCGTATAGCGAGCATATTTAACAATTTTTAAGCAAGCAGCTGTAACTTAAATATCGTGTAAAAATCATTTAACTCAAAACTAAAATTTTATTGGAATATAGGGAAAACTAAAATAAAATTAATGTCAGACCCGTCGCCACTCTCAGCAGTCAACCAGGGCTCATAAAAGCTTAACAGCGCCTGGGTCCGTTCACCAACTGTGCTAATGTGAGTGGCGGTGTGGTAAGAACTATTTTTAACAGCGTGAATATTTATTAAATACAAGCGCGATAGCTGCTAGCATACTTGTATCATTTAATTCTAAATCAAATTTATTCGGATATATATTTATTGATTATGTATTGAATTGGTGATTAATAATAAAATTTTCTTTTCTCAGTAAAACCATTCCAGTTATTTTATTTACAAGTAGGATTAATTTAAAGGTGTTATATGATAATATAAAAACACATCGAGTTTGAAGTGTTCAATTAGATTTGTGAATAACATATTTGTTTTGATTACACCATTCATGACTTTCACCCGTAGCTTTGAGTTGGACAACCAATATTATAATTCTCCATATATTACAATATATTACACCTGACAATTTTCTGCTCGTAATTGGTACAACCGCACATAGTTTTAAAAGTATGAATAAAATAGCCAGAAAATTGCATATTCAAAATCTAACAATTCTGAAGTTAAGTAAAGTAAAAATGCAATGATGACATAATATTTTATATTTACAAAGCATCATTGCAATATTATTTAAAAATATAATAAATTTGTTTTACTAAAAAAATTTGTTTTACTATGTTTTAATACTTTCAGCGCTGCTATATAACAAATAATTTGAGTTCAGGGAAAGTATGTCGTAATTCCCTCAAAAGGGTGTCGTAAGTTTACACGTTGCTTTAACAGCTGATTGTTTTGACTTTTGCTTGCTGTTTGTTTTAACTTTTGCTGAGTATGGGTGACAACAACAAGAGTAACAAGAGAGCCTCATCTATCACCAATAACTCTCGGATTCCTTCCCCTGCGGACAAAAAGGCAAAGTCCCGAATCAAGAACAACACTCCAGGACCAGAGGCGAAGGGAAAGGATGTATCTTGTGAAACTATTGTTGTAGACAGTGATGTAACACCCCCAAAGTTTGACAGTTCACACAGGGACAAGACGAAATGTCCATGTAGTAAGTCAATATCGTCATGGAAGATTGACTGTGTAAAGTGCAAGCAATATTGGCACATAGACTGTCTAACTATGAATGGACTCAACCAGAAAAATGTCAACAGCATGACCAATTGGCACTGCCCTTTTTGTTTGGTTTCACCAATCCCCACATTCGAAACTGCTGAAGATGTGTGTTATGTGTGTAGGAACACTCTGACACTTCAAAAATCTAACAGTCAGTGTGAGACAGCTATTGCCACAGAGAAGCTTAATACCATCACAGCTTTTGGTGAAAAGCTTGCAAAGGTTGACTTTGACAGTCTAAACGACAGCATTGCTGCCATCCAGAACCTTGACCTCCATATCAAGCACCTACTGGTAAGTGACAAGGGCACTGCTCCAGCATGGGTTGAAGTGATGGAAGGAGATCTAAAGCAGCTGAAAACTTCAGTTGACTCTTCACTCGGAAAGGTTTCTGAGTCTGATAGTGGCCTAACAGAACAGATTAAAGTGTTGAACAAGCAACTGCAGGACTTTTCTACTCCTCAAGTAAGTGCTCAATCTTCCTCCAAGACCAACGATCTCATGGAAAAAATAGAGAAGAATCTCCAGGAGCTAAATTCCAAGCAGTCTCTGGAGACGAATCAGGAGCTAACAGCCATTAGACAGTCTTTGAACACTCTTGAGCGAAATTCCTTGGCTTCTTCTGACCATTTAAACGTCCAAATTACCAGTTCTTCACTTGCCCCTG